TACTGACCTTCAGTCAAACTCTACATTACACATGACATGGCTGAGGATGAACCCTGAGCATGAATGGGTTAACTTTTTCTCATTACATCCCCAAAAGTGACTCACTCTGCTGAGAACACTGTCGGCCATCTTCTATCTCTGACAGTGCTTCCTTTGCATCCAAACACTAAATGGGTTGTCTGTGCTTTATGCATGTGGTTATTATCTGGTTAACTTTGCTTCACACCCCACTCTGAACACATGGAAAAAAGTGGCATTTCTGACCAAGGATCTAAGAATGGAAAATAGAAACGTCTGTGCTGAACCCATGCAGTAAAAACAGCCTCCCTCATGTGATGCTGTGTCCTGGAACCAATCACCAAAAGTTCAGAGGACAACAGGAAGTCAGGGGTCAGGCCACTGACCCCATGAATTCCTGTTTTTCAGCTACTGCTTTATTCTTTGACTCCCTCCCACCCCACCCCTCTTAACATTTTCTTTCCTTGGCCCTTTTCCTCTCCTTCACCCCCCATCTCTCCCTCTGTCATCCTGTTCCCCTCTATCTCCCAGCCATTGCACTGAGCCAACACTGCAGGATATTTTCATCTGTCTGTCTCCTCCTCTCCATCTGTTGGTAGTGCTTATGTTTCCCTCTTTTCCTTCCTTTGACATTTCTCCTTCAACTACCTTCTCTCTGCCTGACTTTCTCCTTATCTGTACCTTTCTTATCCATAAAGAACCGATCCTCTGACTGAAGGTCAGAGATACTGTATAGCCTCAGGTCAGATTAAATATTTAGATGTTTTTCACTCTACCCAAACCTGTCTAGTAGGACAACAAAGCTGTAAGAGTGGTTTCACCATGTAGAGAGAGGGATCCTCCTGCTAAAACAAGTCAGGTTTCAGATAAAAATACTGCAGAGCTACGTGACAGAGGAAATCTAAGTTAGCACTCTGCTGTTAAGAGTTTAAGAGAGTTAAAGCATCACAACTATGGTTTTAACCCATTACTTGTATGGACAGACCTTTACAAAATCAAAACTGCATGTGAAATCATTTCTTGAGATACTTAATGCATTTCTCAGACCCAACTATAGACAATGAAACACCTGTGCTGGTTTTATCCACAATGGCATATCCCACCAATGCCTTGCTTGCACTCCCACATAATCCCTCACCTCACTGGCTGAGTTCATAAGGTGCTTCCTGCTGAGTGTCGTGCTGAGCGTGTTGTTGCTACTCAGCATGGGTGTCTTCATAAATACAAAGTCACTCCTGCTGGATATGGTGGAGTAGCAGGGCCTGTAGGTGCGTGTGTGCAGTTCCTGGGGGCCTCCAACAACCTCCATATAGCGTATGGGTCCATCAGTATTGAGCTGCAGGTGCAGGTCCTTGCTTGGCCTCTGATGGTAACGGCTGGACCTGTGGCGACCGTAGCAGCAGCAGTCGGAGTCTCCCACCCCTAGGCCACGGCGCCTTAGGCAGCACACCATAAGGACGACAAAGGTGATAAAGGAGACAGCTGACACACTGGCTAAAGAGATGATGAGGTAAAGAGTGATGTTCGGCATCCCAGTACGGTGGTTGATGGGTGTGTGGCGAGGGCTTGCTGGAGCACCTACGTCAGCTCCCTTCTCATCCACAGTTACTGAAATGTTAACGGTACTGGACTTAGGAGGGTCACCATTGTCCTGAATGATAACCACAATGTCATAATTTGAGCCACTTTCCTCCTCTGCCCACTTGCGGGCTGTGCGGAGTTCACCAGTGTGTGCCCCGATACGGAACATGCCAGCATTTGGTCCAGGGGCGATGGAGTAAAACAACCATGCATTGTGCCCACTATCTGCATCCACCCCTACAAGTTTGTTTATGAGGTACCCTGGGCCAGCAGATGGGGGCACAGTGAACTGTAATCCTTTGTCTTTTGAGTAGGCGGGGTGTACAACTGCTGGCACATTGTCATTCACATCCATCACAAACACATGAACCGTGACATTGGCCGTCCGTGAGGGCACCCCAGCATCCCGGGCCTGCACCTCAATACGGAAGGCTTTAAGCTGTTCATGATCCAGAGAGCGCATGCTGTAGATTTGGCCACTCTCTGGGTTAATGTAGACATAAGATGAAATGGGTGAGTCCTGGACCATGCTGGGAAGGATGGAGTAGGAGATGCGAGCATTGTCACCAAGGTCTGGGTCAGTGGCTGAAACAGAAGCGATGGGTGCACTGGGAGCGTTGTTCTCTGGGATGTCCACAGAGTATGAAGGCTGAGAGAAGGTGGGGGGATTGTCATTTACATCAGAGAGCTTCACCACAAAGGTGGTTTGTGATGAAAGGGGTGGGGAACCAGCATCAGTGGCCTTGATGACCACTGTGTACTCTGGGACAGTCTCACGGTCCAGGTTTCCAGCAGTGGTGAGGCTGTAATGCATGCCAAAAGCTGAATGAAGTTTGAATGGCAAACCTGGTTGCACAGTTAATGTAACCTCCCCATTCACACCAGAGTCCAGGTCCCGAGCACTTATTAGTGCTATCACAGTCTCTGGTGCCGAGTCCTCTCTGATAGGACTGGTCAGTGATGTCAGTGTCACCTCTGGTGCGTTGTCATTCACGTCAATGATGTCCACTATGACGTTACAGGAGCCCTCCATGGCGGGGGAGCCACCATCTCTGGCCTGCACTGTGATGTGGTATGCAGTGGCTTTCTCATAGTCAACATCACCTTTCACACGGATCTCCCCGCTTTTAGAATCCACACTGAAAAGGCTGAGAACGCGTTCCGGTGTGTATTTACTAAACAGGAAAGATATTTCTCCGTTGTTACCCGAATCCGCGTCGGTCGCGTTCAATTTCGTAACTAAAGTGCCCCGTGCCACATTTTCTAATAGCCTAACCTTATTTACCGGCTCGTCAAAGACGGGCGCATTGTCATTTACATCCAGAATTTTAATGAGCATAAGTGTCGAGCCAGATTTCTCAGGCTGACCCCCATCTACAGCAGTGAGCAACAGGCGGAATGAGGCCTGCTTCTCCCTGTCCAGAGCTTTATCCACCACTAGCTCTGGAAACTTGCTGCCATCACTTTTAGTTTCCACATTCAAAGTAAAAAAGTCATTTGCTGCGAGATGGTAAGTGCGTAAAGAGTTTGTACCCACGTCTGGGTCGTGTGCGCTCTCCAAGCGGAACCTTGTGCCAGGAGCAGCCGCCTCTGATATCTCCAGGGAAATGTTGCGGGTTGAAAACTGCGGTGCGTTGTCATTCACATCCAGAATGTCCACCACGGCTCGTTGCATGTCTAAAGGAGCCTCCAGAAGTACTTGAAGGTGTAGGGAACATGTTGAACTTAATTCGCACAGTTGCTCCCTGTCAATTTTTTGTTTGATAACCAATTCGCCGGTCGCCTGCTTTACCTCAAAATACTGCGTTGATGATTCCGTGACCACCCGCAATCTTCTCTGAACAATCCCCTGAGCAGAAAGACTCAAATCTCTAGCGATATTCCCAACGACAGAGCCCGGGCTTAGTTCCTCCGATACGGAATAGCTGAGCTGAGCGGACGCACAGGAGAGGCCAGCTAGATAAAGGCAAAGCCTCCACAGCCTCCCTCCTCCGGAGCGCTTCCTCTGTCTGGAGTCCATTGTGCTGCGCTCCGAGAAGCGGAGAATGGGAAAGTTTTCAACTTCTTCTTTCACCGTAATGTATCCATAGTAGTTTTAAAACGAGGCTGCCAGTCGTGATGGTAAAGGTTTCCGTTTCAAAAGTAGAGCGACGGGAAGTTTTGATGTGATCATGACGGCAGGCTTTTAAGAAAAAAAAACGAGAGCGAAAATCAAAGTATTTTCTGCCTCCACTGAAACTCTCTGCTCTGTCTCCTCCGCCTCGCTCTCGGCATGGGCGGGGAGAGGGAACAGAGGCCTTCCCCCTCACTGGGAGATAGGGCTGGACCAGCTCTGTCACACAGCTCTCTCACACACACAGTGAAAACTTTCCAGTGACTCCACTTCCACTGACAGGCAAGTATCAGCTCAGCTCTCATTGTAAAAGTTTGAGAGGACAATAAAAAGCGGTATAACTCAGGGAAAAACATATTTTGACTGTTGAAAATATATAGAGAAAAAACATATACATATATAGAGAGAGTAGATGTTATTTTGTTGAATCACGTGCTATCACTGAGAGCTCCTCATTATCAAAACACAGCAGCCTATCAAGCAGCTGTTATTTATAGCAATGCTATTTGTATCCGCAGGGGGGCATGGTTTCCAAACTGGTCTTTCCCTTCCCGAATTTCAAAGTAAAGTTGAAATGGGGCTTCCTCATAAAGTTAAGTCGGTCTACTAAATATGTTCACATGTATGGAAGACATAAAATGCCACGCAGCAATTTGAAGATACAGGACATTTAGCTTAAAGAAAAGGGCAAATTTTCGTTTTAGAAGAAAAGGCAACAATTAAGGATTAATTGTTGCAATCAATAAAAAAAAGTTTACTAAAATTGGTCAATGAAAGAAAGTTTCGCAGAAAAGGAGTGAAGCCATATTCTCATTTTACCATAACATTTAAACCTAAGATTGTTAAGATGAATTTTAAGATAAAGAAATTGAACATAAAATACGTAATCTTTCATCTTAGGTAAATAGTATTTTACTGAGAAAAACAACAATATTATCTTATCATGGCAAATTGCAAACAAAAACTATTATATTACTGAAGTTTCAATATATAACAAATCATGTGTTTAAATCACATCAAAATTCATTTGCTGAATTTGTTTAAGGGATTAAAATATCCCATGGATTATGAGCAGGGAGCATAACTCTGTTGCTGACCATAGTCAAGCCACAAAACTCACTGCAATTTAGATTCCACTACAGGAAACAGAATACACTTTTTCTTAGTGTACTCTAGCAAATAAATCGCGCTTTACTGCTGAACGTTAAAAATACCTGAAAAATAGAATAAGGGGAGGTCTGTTCAGCCCATATGTATAGATACAATATCACACAGTGACTTCTAGTTCTCAGCTCACCTGCTGGCTCTCAAAGGTCCAGGTGCTGTCGGGCAAAGACGCATCCAGGACACTGATGACCTCCTTAAAGTCAGTGGTGCTGCTGGGCTTTATCAAAGTGAAATCACTGTACTCTGACATTGGAGACATACAGGACCTGAAGGACTGACTCTGAGACAACATGTCTCCTCCCAGGACCTCCACGTACTTTATAGGTCCATCAGTGTTGAGCTGAATCTGCAGGTTTCTGTTGGGGTTCTTGTAATCATCACAGTCGCTCCGTCTCATGCAGCAAGTACCGCTGCTTCTGCTGTTCCTCATGCATTTGACCGCTAAGATGAGAAAAGTCACCAGAGACAGCACGGACACCGAGGCCAGAGAGAGAATCAAATAAAGGGTGATTCTGCCCGTTTTCTTGCTGGGCTCGGCCGCTTTCTGTCGGAGGTCTAAGATGGGCTCATGGAGGCCGTCCTCCAGCTGGATGGACACCGTGACGGTGGCGGACTGGACCGGTTCTCCGTCGTCCTTGATCTCTATGAGCAGCCTCTGAGAGGAGTCGTCCTGCTCGGACACAGCGCGTTTAGTCCTCACCTCCCCTGTGTACAGATTGACAGTGAAGAGAGAGGCGTCTGTGGCCTCCGCCACTTTGTAGGAGATCCAAGCGTTATGGCCCGAGTCAGCGTCCACGGCCGTCACCTTGGTAACCAGGTGACCCGCTTTGGCGGAGCGGGGCATCCTCTGATGAGAGAGGGAGCCCATGGCGGAGGAGGGGTAAATAACAGTGGGGGCATTGTCGTTCTGGTCCAGGATAAAAACATGGACAGTGGCGTTGCTGCTGAGAGACGGAGAGCCCTGATCCTTTGCCTGAACCTGAATCTGAAACACCTTGAGTTTCTCATAGTCAAACGAGTGCATGCTGTAGATGCTGCCGTTATCTGAGTTAATGTAAACATAAGATGAGACAGACACGTCCTGCACTTTAGAGTCCAGTATAGAGTAAGAGATCTTGGCGTTTTCACCAAAATCCAGGTCAGATGCTGATACTGAGTACAGTATAGAGCCTGGCACCCCATTCTCTTTTAAATAAACATTATAGGAGGGCTGAGTGAATATAGGAGGGTTATCATTCACATCAGTGATGCTGACAGGTATAATTTTCTTACTGGACAGAGGAGGAGAGCCTGAATCAGTGGCTGTTATCTCAATACTGTAGTCCGAGCGGCTCTCTCTGTCTAAAGCACCACTGGTCACCAGTGCATAATTATTAGAAAAAGAAGGTTTCAGATTAAAAGGAGAGTCTTTTGTGAGCTGCAACGTCACTTTACCGTTATCACCGGAGTCATAGTCTCGCGCACTGATTAAAGCAACTACGGTGCCACTTGGCGCATCTTCGCGTACTGGCTTTGGCTGAGAGGTAAGAACAATTTCTGGCGCATTATCATTGAAGTCAATAATGTCTACCTGCACGCGACAGTGGCCCTCCATTTCAGGACTACCTTTATCTTTTGCAATTACGTCAATGTCATATGATTTGGTAGTTTCATAGTCCAATTCACCTTTCAGAGTGATTTCACCTGTTAAGGGGTTAATATTAAACATGGACAATACCACATCTGGTGTCCGAGAGCCAAATGAGAATTCAATTTCACCATTTAAACCTTCATCAGCATCTGTTGCTTTGGGCTGTATAACAATAACCCCCTTTAAACTTTTTTCACCCAAGGTTACTTTGTATAAATTCTTCTCAAACACAGGAAAGTTATCATTTGTATCAAGCACAGTTATGGTTATTTGTGAGGTTCCGGATCTGACTGGATTCCCACCGTCTAATGCTGTAAGTAATATTTTGTGAACAGCTTTTTTCTCTCGATCTAGAGGCTTTTCTAAAACAAGTTCCGGGACGGTTTTACCCCCCTCCATTTCCTTTATTTTAAGGGAACAACACTCATTTTTACTCAGAGTATATGATTTAAGTGAATTGCTTCCGACGTCGGGGTCCGTTGCGCTCTCCAAAAGAAAGCGAGTGCCCACTAATGCTACTTCGGCTATTTTTAAAGATAATTCATTTGAAATGAAACTGGGAGAATTATCATTAATATCTCGTATTTCAACCTCAATTCGGTGTAACTGTAACGGGTCCTCTACAACCACTTGCAGAGGTAGAACACAGCTGGCGCTTTGTCCACATAAAGCCTCTCTGTCTATTCTGTCATTCACCACCAGCTCGCCCTTCCCCGCATCCACACTGAAATACTGCTCACCAGCCTCAGAGGCGACACGCAGTTTACGGTCAAAAATCTCAGATAATCCCAAACTTAGATCTTTGGCTAGATTTCCTACCACAGAGCCCTGTTTCAGTTCCTCCGGGATGCTGTAACGAGTCTGTCCATTTATTGTACTCCACAAGAGAAAGAAATGATGCCACCAAAGCGCCTGCCATCTCCAGTCTCGGTATCCTATTGTCTTTGTCATCCTTGATTCAGTAAAATACATCATTTACAATCCCAAAGAAGAGAAAACATGAAGTTAAAATCCATAATCCACGAGCGTGACATATTCCGTTAAAAAGACGCCTGTTCATGACCAAAAATAAAATTAAGATATAACCGTATACTCCAGATATACGAAGCATTTACCTACTCTCCTCCCACCCCGAGCATTGTGGTTTTGGTGCTGAAGCTGCATGGGGGAGGGAGTAGATCTCTTTGTACAGTTCTGAATGCTATTGGTGCACAGCATCCATCCCTCACATCCAATGAGAGGGAAACTGTGCAGCATCGTTAAAGACACACTCACCCTTTTGCACTGTCATGAAAGAGTATGTGGAATACAATCACGAGATGCCATTAAATTTCCATTACTTATATAAATGGATATATAATGGAATAAATGGACATATAAATAAAAGCAGGCCTTTTAAAATGTACGTCTGTTAATCCACAATGCATTTACTGGTTGCAACAATCGATTTTACTGAGATAAATTTATTTCCATTGCTTTCATTTCTTCCGGGTAAAGACCATCATCAGAGTCTATTTACGTTATTAACTCTGGTACTGAGAGGAAATAGTTAAGTGTGCTCGTAAAAAGTTCACGTATTTTCATTGTTACCTCTTGAGTAAAAGCCATCAATATCAATATTATGGTGCCCTCTGAGTGCGTCATGGGTCAGAGAGTCGCTGTCCATCCCTGTGGTGCTGAAACGTTCAGCTTTACACGCCATCCAACATCCACCACACTCTTAATGTCACATGATATCAGCTGCTGCGCCACATAAGTTGTAAAAGTCAACAAGAAGGTTACAAGTTTAATATGGAAATTAATGAGATGTTTTTATTTCAAATGAATTGACTAACAGGGTAACACATTTCCGATTTTTTTTAACCGTGAAAGCAAAAGTCGTTGTTTATTCTACACACTGCTCACCTGCTGGCTCTCAAAGGTCCAGGTGCTGTCGGGCAAAGACGCATCCAGGACACTGATGACCTCCTTAAAGTCAGTGGTGCTGCTGGGCTTTATCAAAGTGAAATCACTGTACTCTGACATTGGAGACATACAGGACCTGAAGGACTGACTCTGAGACAACATGTCTCCTCCCAGGACCTCCACGTACTTTATAGGTCCATCAGTGTTGAGCTGAATCTGCAGGTTTCTGTTGGGGTTCTTGTAATCATCACAGTCGCTCCGTCTCATGCAGCAAGTACCGCTGCTTCTGCTGTTCCTCATGCATTTGACCGCTAAGATGAGAAAAGTCACCAGAGACAGCACGGACACCGAGGCCAGAGAGAGAATCAAATAAAGGGTGATTCTGCCCGTTTTCTTGCTGGGCTCGGCCGCTTTCTGTCGGAGGTCTAAGATGGGCTCATGGAGGCCGTCCTCCAGCTGGATGGACACCGTGACGGTGGCGGACTGGACCGGTTCTCCGTCGTCCTTGATCTCTATGAGCAGCCTCTGAGAGGAGTCGTCCTGCTCGGACACAGCGCGTTTAGTCCTCACCTCCCCTGTGTACAGATTGACAGTGAAGAGAGAGGCGTCTGTGGCCTCCGCCACTTTGTAGGAGATCCAGGCGTTATGGCCCGAGTCAGCGTCCACGGCCGTCACCTTGGTAACCAGGTGACCCGCTTTAGCGGAGCGGGGCATCCTCTGATGAGAGAGGGAGCCCATGGCGGAGGAGGGGTAAATAACAGCGGGGGCATTGTCGTTCTGGTCCAGGATAAAAACATGGACAGTGGCGTTGCTGCTGAGAGACGGAGAGCCCTGATCCTTTGCCTGAACCTGAATCTGAAACACCTTGAGTTTCTCATAGTCAAACGAGTGCATGCTGTAGATGCTGCCGTTATCTGAGTTAATGTAAACATAAGATGAGACAGACACGTCCTGCACTTTAGAGTCCAGTATAGAGTAAGAGATCTTGGCGTTTTCACCAAAATCCAGGTCAGATGCTGATACTGAGTACAGTATAGAGCCTGGCACCCCGTTCTCTTTTAAATATACATTATAGGAGGGCTGAGTGAATATAGGAGGGTTATCATTCACATCAGTGATGCTGACAGGTATAATTTTCTTACTGGACAGAGGAGGAGAGCCTGAATCAGTGGCTGTTATCTCAATGTTATACTCTGAGAAGCGCTCTCGGTCCAAAGCACCACTTGTAACCAGTGCGTAATTATTAGAAAATGACGGTTTTAAAGTGAATGGAGAACCTCTAGGTAGTTGCAATGTGACTTTACTGTTATTACCGGAGTCAGCGTCACGTGCGTTGAGCAAAGCCACCACTGTGCCACTTGGTGAATCTTCGCGTACCGGCTTCGGTTCAGAGGTGAGAACAATTTCTGGAGTGTTATCATTAACATCAATAACGTCTACCTGTAGACGACAGTGACTCTCGTTTTCAGGAACTCCTTTATCTTTTGCAGTTATTTCAATTTTGTAGGACGCGACTCTTTCATAATCTAAATCTCCTTTCAAACGTATTTCCCCTGTTAATGAATTTATTTCAAATACAGATAGGACGGAATCAGGTGTCCGCGAGCCAAAAGAGAATTCAACTTCTCCGTTTGGACCCTCGTCGGCATCTGTGGCTGCAATTTTGAGAACAAAAGTATCTTTTGCAGTATTTTCCCCTAACGAAACTTTATAAATATTTTTATCAAAAACTGGAAAGTTGTCATTTACATCGAGCACTGTGATCGTAATCTGTGAGGTTCCAGACATGGCTGGGTTTCCTCCGTCTAATGCAGTCAGCAGCAGCTGGTGAACTGCTTTCTTCTCTCGATCAAGGGGCTTCTCTACCACTATCTCGGGGACTGTTTTGCCATCCTCAACGTCCTTCATTTTTAATGTAAAACAGTCGTTTTTAGTCAACATGTAGGATCTGACTGAATTAGAGCCAACGTCAAAATCGTCTGCACTCTCTAAGGGAAAACGAGTTCCCACTACTGCCGATTCAGAAATTTTTAAAGACAGTTCTTTTGTATGAAAACTTGGTGAATTGTCATTTATATCTTTTATTTCTACCTCAATCCGATGTAAACTAAGAGGATTCTCTAGGACGACCTGCAGAGGCAACACACAGCTGGCGCTTTGTCCACATAAAGCCTCTCTGTCTATTCTGTCATTCACCACCAGCTCGCCCTTCCCCGCATCCACACTGAAATACTGCTTACCAGCCTCAGAGGAGACACGCAGCGTACGGTCGAAAATGTCTGATAATCCCAAACCCAGATCTTTGGCTAGATTTCCTACCACAGAGCCCTGTTTCAGTTCCTCTGGGATGCTGTAACGAGTCTGTCCGTGTATTGTACTCCACAAGAGAAAGAAATGATGCCACCAAAGCGCCTGCCATCTCCAGTCTCGGTATCCCATTCTCTTTGTCATCCCTTATCCGTTACAATATGTTATTTCCCATCCAGAAAATCGAAGTTAACATCCAGTTCCAACGAGCATTAGCTATTTCCAGGAAAATATATGAAGCATTTTTGTTCATTTCTAAAGCTTAAATTAACTATTTCTTTCTCGGCTTCGGGATACGAGCGCATCACCCACCGTCCTCCAGCTCTATGCATTGTTAACGTTTACAGTGCTGAGGCTGCAAGGGGGAGGGGGTAGATCTCTTTGTACAATTCTGCATGTGATTGGTGCACAGCATCCATCACTGGCATCCAATAGGAACAGGGCTGAACAGTGTTTTCAAAGGCACAGCTGCGCTTATGAGAATCACTCGAGATGTACCGCTGTGTATATCTGGTGTGAAATCTGTTTTATTCCCCTGATTTTGTAATTGTGTTGATGAAACGATATGCAATTCATACAAACAAAAAAAGCGCATTCTCGCAAATGAATATGCATCAAACGGAGTAATCTAAGTCAAGTCAAATCCCCATCCTCTTCAGAAAGGCATGCGTAAAAAGGTGTTGTTCTTGAAGTCAGAAATTCCTATTATATTACAAAATCAATTCAAACACTGCCACCATCTTAATACCATAGCCCACCGCTCATGTATTGTTTGTTTGTTTTTAAGTTTAGCCAAAATCTGAGAACTGCGAGTTGCTGAAGCTTTGAAATTGAGAGCTGCTTAATAAATTAAATTCCCGAATGCACACTTAATTGACTAGGTGTAAACACACAGTGGTAAGTGTGTATTTTCCATCATATCAGGCTGATAAAACAAGGCCAGCTGTCGATTTTTACCATGCAAACACGATTATCAGACGACAACACATCAGCATGATGTTATTTAATAAATATGCAGATTTAACAAAGTATGATGGTGACATCAATATAAGTTGTTCTCAGCTCACCTGCTGGCTCTCAAAGGTCCAGGTGCTGTCGGGTAAAGACGCATCCAGGACACTGATGACCTCCTTAAAGTCAGTGGTGCTGCTGGGCTTTATCAAAGTGAAATCACTGTACTCTGACATTGGAGACATACAGGACCTGAAGGACTGACTCTGAGACAACATGTCTCCTCCCAGGACCTCCACGTACTTTATAGGTCCATCAGTGTTGAGCTGAATCTGCAGGTTTCTGTTGGGGTTCTTGTAATCATCACAGTCGCTCCGTCTCATGCAGCAAGTACCGCTGCTTCTGCTGTTCCTCATGCATTTGACCGCTAAGATGAGAAAAGTCACCAGAGACAGCACGGACACCGAGGCCAGAGAGAGAATCAAATAAAGGGTGATTCTGCCCGTTTTCTTGCTGGGCTCGGCCGCTTTCTGTCGGAGGTCTAAGATGGGCTCATGGAGGCCGTCCTCCAGCTGGATGGACACCGTGACGGTGGCGGACTGGACCGGTTCTCCGTCGTCCTTGATCTCTATGAGCAGCCTCTGAGAGGAGTCGTCCTGCTCGGACACAGCGCGTTTAGTCCTCACCTCCCCTGTGTACAGATTGACAGTGAAGAGAGAGGCGTCTGTGGCCTCCGCCACTTTGTAGGAGATCCAGGCGTTATGGCCCGAGTCAGCGTCCACGGCCGTCACCTTGGTAACCAGGTGACCCGCTTTAGCGGAGCGGGGCATCCTCTGATGAGAGAGGGAGCCCATGGCGGAGGAGGGGTAAATAACAGCGGGGGCATTGTCGTTCTGGTCCAGGATAAAAACATGGACAGTGGCGTTGCTGCTGAGAGACGGAGAGCCCTGATCCTTTGCCTGAACCTGAATCTGAAACACCTTGAGTTTCTCATAGTCAAACGAGTGCATGCTGTAGATGCTGCCGTTATCTGAGTTAATGTAAACATAAGATGAGACAGACACGTCCTGCACTTTAGAGTCCAGTATAGAGTAAGAGATCTTGGCGTTTTCACCAAAATCCAGGTCAGATGCTGATACTGAGTACAGTATAGAGCCTGGCACCCCGTTCTCTTTTAAATATACATTATAGGAGGGCTGAGTGAATATAGGAGGGTTATCATTCACATCAGTGATGCTGACAGGTATAATTTTCTTACTGGACAGAGGAGGAGAGCCTGAATCAGTGGCTGTTATCTCAATGTTATATTCCGAGGAGCGTTCTCGGTCTAATAAACCACTAGTAACCAGTGCGTAATTATTAGAAAATGATGGTTTCAAACCGAAAGGAGAACCCTTTGGGAGTTTTAACGCCACTTTGGCGTTATCACCGGCGTCAAGGTCTCTTGCTCTAATTAAAGCTACAACTGTGCCTCTAGGTGCATCTTCGCGTACTGGGTTTGGATTTGAAGTGAGCACTATTTCTGGAGCATTGTCATTAATGTCTATTACCACTACTTGCACACGACAGTGGCCCTCCATTTCAGGAACTCCTTTATCTCTTGCAGTAATGTCTATTTCATGTATTGCACTGCTTTCATAATCCAACTGCCCTATCAAGTGAATTTCACCTGTACCTG